CAAATATAAGAGTCAAGTTTTGGAAAAAAAAAAAAAATTCATGAAATTTGTATGATTTGAGTCCCAATAAGATGGAAAATAGCAATAAATTAATTTTCTGATGTCTCTTTATGGGTTTGCCCTTTTTAGGGTTAATTAGTTGGATGAAAGTTACGGATTAAAAAGTTATAGATGTTTTACCATTTCCAGGCTTTTGGAGAGCTTCTGCAACTGAGAGCCACTGAAGCCAAGATGACAGCATACAGTTTGTGTACATCCAGGGCTGAAGCATTCACTCTGCAGATCAACTACGTTTAAAGTAAATGGGAATGTTTATGGATAGCTCTATGCAGGTTTATTAGACTGCTGAGGGTTAATTTAATTGATATTGATGTTTTTTAATTGTCTCTTAAATTGGTATAAAGCACACTGGTCAACTACTGTTGTTTAGTTGTGCTATAGAAATAAAATTGACAATTGACATTAACAGTATTAAAAAGAAAAGATATATAATTAATCCTTGTTTTTTATGTTTTTTTTTAATGATCCCTTAATCTTACTCTGTAAAACATAGCTTTTGGGAAAACAAAAGGAGCTGGCCATGACACGAAGAAGTGAGATTTCAAGATAAATAGTAAATGGGTGTGACAACCTTGACCCAGTGGCATGCGGTGGTGTTTTAAAATGAGGAGGCAGTTATATATATATATATATTTATATATATATATATATATATATTTATATGTCCCTGTTACACTTAATGTTGTCACATTTTCCTGGTTAAATAAATATTACATAAAAAAAGAGAACAAATATAATTCTATTTTGTATTTTATTAATATTATTTTTTTATTTAATATTTTTAATACTAATACATTTCATAGTGTTTTTATGCATTTTTGTATTTATTCCAAAATAACTAAAGGCAGTAACAATTTGAACAATATTTTGGAAACTATTTACAATAATGTTTCATTAGTTAACATGAACTAAGAATAAACAATAGCCTACTTCTACAGCATTTATTAATCTTAGTTAATATTAATTTCAACATTTACTAATGCACTATTAAAATCAAAATGTGTTTAACATTAGTTTATGCACTATGAACTAACAATGAACAACAGTATTTGTATTAACTAATGTAAACAAAGATTAATAAATACTGTAATAAATGTTCATTGTTTGTTCATGTTAGTTAACACATTAAATGACACCTTATTGTAAAATGTTACCAATATTTTTTATTTGGGAACTGATGTTCAGCTGTTCTGTTTAATAGTCAACTTCGGGTCATCGTCATAAAAGCTCTGTAAACACTGCCACAGACACGAAGATAAATCTTTCATTTCATCACGCTGAATTCTCACTAAAAACTGACACAGTCATCACGTTTTCAGAACATTTCAAGTTTTATTTTGACGTGACACAAAGTAGTGGTATCTAAGCGGGAGAGTTGATTACTTACTTTATAATTAGTCAATAAAGCCATCATTTTCTTAATTCAGGTCGAGAGCATGCACGAAAACAAGAGGCAGGGTTTATCGCATGAACTATTCACATTCAATCTTAACCGAACACATCCAATTATAGCGCGATGACTCTCACTTGACTTTCCCCCATTCATTCTCAATTACAACCCAGAAAAGTCACAGCACGCTAAGGTGTCTCTGTTGTAAGTCAATGGACTGAAGGGAGGCAAGCCTCTGCTATAACTTTACCTGCGGGTGTCACTGTTGGACAGTATTACTTTATAAAAACGAGTGACTTTTATACTTTTAATGCCATATTTAGTAATATTTGCGATTTATGTTTGTAATATCGATTGTTTTGTCATCCAATTTTTTGAGGAGACACTGCGTCCCTTGCCTCCTCAGAGGGAATGCCCCTGCCTTGACCGTTATATTCGTTCAGGTTTTAGGAAGAAACAACTGCATTGGAGTTGATAAATGTTCATAAAGTACTTGATTTGGCTGATAAAGGTTTATACATTTTTTTTTTTTTTATAAAATAAGCAGTATTGTATTGTAAGATTTTTTTTTTAGAATAAAGATTATGCCAAACTACATAAAGTTATCCCAAAAAATTACATTTGTTGAAAATGTACTTAGGCCATCCAACATGTCTATGAGTTTATTTCTTCATCAGAACAAATTGGAGAAATTTAGCTTTATATCACTTGTTCACCAATGGATCCTCTGCAGTTAATGGGTGCTGTCAAAATGAGACACAATAACCCACAAGTAATGTAAATGTAAGTAAACCGAAGTAATCTGCTGCATGTTTGTAAGAAAAAAAACCCCATCGTTAATACGCTTTTAACTTCAAATCATTGCTTCCAGCTAAAATAATGTCCTTATCCATAAAATTGAGTTCTGAAAACATGGTCACATCTGAATGAGTCCAAAATACTTCCAAAGTAATATATCGGTAGAGAGGAAAACAGGGGATGGACTTTTTCACTTTCAACTTTTTTTATGGATTGTGAAGTTGTATTTTAGCAAGAAATGACTGTTTAAATTTAAAACGTCCTAATGATGTATTTGTCTATTACAAAAACAGAAGCATTTCATTTCACAAGACGTCAATTGATGGACTGGAGTCATGTGGATTACTTGTGAATTTTGGACTCTCACTCTGACAGCACCCACTGACTGCAGTTTTTTCTTTATGATATTAACATTCAGGACAGTTAAGCCCCATTTTAATGTTTGTATGTATTTGCAGACATAATGACAGCCACTTCTGAAGAGCAGCAGTGCCTCTAAAATGAGTTTCTATGAGAAGAGAAAGGGAGCTGTTTCTGCTCAGACCAAAAGGGCAGGAACTCCTGAACCCAGCTGTGTGTCTATGAAGAGTGATGTATCTATGGGCATGCCACCTGAATTCAGTGGTGGAGCAGTGAACTCTGACCCCAAGTGAGACAACAAGATTAAATCTTACAGGGATAGTTCACCCAAAATGAAAATTTGCTGTTGATTTACTCACCCTCAGGCTATCTAAGATGTTGACTTTTTTTCTTCAGTTGAACAGTAAAGAAGATTTTCAGCTGAAACTGTGTGGAAAACATTGGTGATTCATAAAATGCAAATCAGCGGCTGCACATTTCTGAAAAAAAAGAAACACAAAATTAATATCCATGGCTCATGACGATATATTTAAGTCTTATGAAGCTAAACAATTGGTCTGCGCAAGAAACTGAACATTATTTACAACATTATTACCTGTAGTCCATAGCCTTTCTTTTCTGCGAACTGGTTCTTTGAGTTTGTTTTAATGGGCTGGTGCAGTTACATAATATACAGTACATATAACATACAGTATCACTGGCTCATTGGTCTTTGGTCTGAGTTGGAACTGTTTCCTCACTTCAGTGTTCTGTTAGAAGTAGTAAATAAGTTGGCAAAAGCCAGCATCATAGAAGCATAAATGCCAGTATTTTGGCGCATTTCGAGTCAAGAGTGACCGTCAGGCATGTCTGAAAGTGAGTTTTGATTAAGTAATCTGTGCTTCTGGAGCCATAAACTGTTTCTGAAGGTTCAGTACGATTTAGTGAACTGGTTCAAGTAATAATCGGACATCTTTTAGGGCTGTTTGCATGAGGCTATGGATTACAGGTAATAATGTTGTAAATAATTTTCAGTTTCTTGCACAGACCAATCATTTCGCATGATAAGACCTCAATATATCGTCAGGAGCCACAGTTTTAATTTAGTGTTCTTTGATATGCTTTTTTTGTTCCCAAAAACGGGCAGCCGCAGACTTGTATTTAATGAATCACCAATGACTACAGTTTCAGCTAAAAAGCTTATTTACTGTTCTACTGAAGAAAAAAGTCACCTTAATCTTGGATGGCCTGAGCGTGACTAAATTAACAGCAAATTTTCATTTTTGGGTGTACTATTGACTTAATAGCCTATACAGGACAGAATGATAAACATAGGCATTTTGGTTTCTTACAAATTTTCACATTATGATCTGTTTGTAAGCAGATTCACAAAGCAACATCAGCATGTAGTTGAGTCTTAATGAAAAGTAACAGTGTAATGAAAAACTTAGTACAACATTGGTTAGCAAATATGATTTAACACATCTAAGATCTCTCTGCAGGTGTTTGTTCCAGGTTTTTTCCAAATGTGGAGTGTGTGAGCAGGCTCTGAGAGATCCGGTCTCAATTACCTGTAAACACAGTTTCTGCAGACAGTGTATCAGCTGCTACTGGGATAAGTTCAGTCAATCAGAAGACTTTGACTGTCCTCAATGCAAGAAGAGATCTAGAACATGTCCTGTTCTACAAACAGATAAAGACTCGGGAGGATCCAGTTCTGCTCTCTCTTACACAAACCTGCAGCAGGCTTCTCTGGTGGACGATGTCCTGCAGAGAGTCAAAACGAGACACAAAACCAGCATGAGGAAAAAGTATGAGAGCTTATTTGAGGGAATCAAACTACAGGAGAATCAAACTCTCCTGAACAGGATCTACACACAGCTATGTATCATAGAGGGAGAAAGTGAAGGGGTAAATGAAGAACATGAAGTGATACAGATGGAGAAATCACCCAGAACACAACATTCACAAGACACTCAAATCCACTGCAATGATATCTTTAAATCCTTACCTAAACAAGGATGTGAGGGGAAGAGAAGAAAGATGAATGACAAAATAAAGATTGTTCTTACTAAAGGAGTCGCTGGAATTGGAAAAACAGTCTCTGTGCAGAAGTTCATTCTGGATTGGGCAGAGGGAAAAGCCAATCAGGATGTAGATTTCATGTTTGTGGTTCCATTTCGAGAGCT